GAGGTCCAACCTGAGTCATGCTAGGAGCGCCTCGTATTCCGCCTCGTTGTTGGTGGCTCGAAACCCGAAGCGAAGGGAACGCTCGAATGATCGCCCGTCGGGAGCTAGTAGCACCAGCCCCGCGCCGGCGCCCTTCGAGTTGGCTGATCCGTCCACATGTAGGACCCATCCTTCAGAAGGTTGCGCGAGATCCAAGTCCTCGATCTGAGTTAATTCTGCGATGAAGTCAGCCACAGACTGGGCTTTGATAGCGGTTCTTGGCACGTATCATACGTTATACTCGCCGAGCTCCACCGCCCATTTGAGAAGACGCCCTGCAACATCAAACTTAGACGTTGGTGATGACCTCCACCGGGTGAGCCTGGAAGTAGGGGCATAGCTTCCGTGCTGACAGCACAAGCGCCAGTGCCAGTCTCTCAATCGGTGGGTACCGTTCCTCGGGCCCGTTCAGGACGTGGCTGATGTAGTAGACCGGTAGCTGTTCGCCGGAGGTTTCTTTGATCAGGACGGAACTGACTGCGTGCCGGGAGGCAGCCAGGTAGAGGCCGAGCTTCTCCCTGCAAGACACTGAGGCAAGTCGGGGGAGGCTGGCCAAGCATTGTTTTACTTGTCCGAAGGCTTCCTCGCATTCTGCCATCCATTGAAAGTTCTTCGGGTTCTTCAGCGCCCGGAAGAAGGGGAGGCAGCGATCACCCGATCGGGCAAGAAACCGAGACAGGGCAGCGAGCCTCCCGTTAAGGCGTTGTAGGTCTTTGATCGTCCGAGGTGATTGCATATTGATGACTGCCTGGACCTTCTCTGGGTTGGAGTCAATTCCTCTTTCGTGTATGATAAACATGAGGAACTTTCCTGAGGTGACGCTAAAGGCACACTTTGCGGGGTTGAGTCGCATGCCGAACTTGCGCAGCGTGGCGAATGTCTCGGCTAGATCGACAAGGTGAGCTTCTGCCGCTTGGCTTTTTACAATCATGTCGTCGACGTAAACTTCTATGTTCCGCCCGATCTGGTGGGCGAACATCTTGTTCACTGTTCTCTGGTACGTACGTAGCTCCAGCATTCTTTAATCTGAATGGCATGAGCTTATAAAAGTATACCCCTTGATCGGTGAGAAAGGCCGTATGCTCTTGGTCTTCGGGTACCATTCTGATCTGGTTGTATCCCGAGAAGGCGTTCATAAACGAGAGGCGAGTGTGTCCGGCTATTGCGTCGACCAACTGGTCGACCTTTGGGAGGGGGTAGCAATCCTTTGGGCATGCATTGTTGAGACTGGTGTAATCGACACACATCCTTCAGCTTCCATTGTGTTTCTTTACGAGGACAACATTGGATAGCCATCGTGGGTATCTGACTTCTTCTATGAAGCCCGCTGTTAAAAGGCATTCCACCTCTTCTCGTATGGCGAGTTACCGATCAGGGGCCTGCCGTCTGGGTTGTTGCTTCACCGGGCGAGCGTCGGGCGAAATGTTGAGGTGGTGTTGCGCGACCTCCGGGTCGACGCCCGTTATGTCAGATGACGACCAGGCGAAGACATCGGTATTTTCTTGTAGGAAGCCGACGAGCCGCTTTCGCTCCTTCTCGGGTAGTTCCGACCTGATTTTGACCGTCTGGTCTGGCCAACCCTCTAGTAGCGGCAAGTCGATGGTGGATCCCCTCGGCTCGGAATGGGGGTTGGTTTCTTCATCCCCCGAGGATATCCCAGTGGTGGTTCGACCCTTGCTTTCTTGTGTAATGAGACTGCTGTCAGGTAGCAGCACCTGGATTCTCAAGGGCTTCCCGTGACTTCTCCGACCCCAGCGTGGGTCGGGAACTTTACAGTTTGGTAGTAAGTCGAGACGATGGCTCTGACTTTGTTGAGGGTTGGGCGGCCGAGAATGGCGTTGTATGCAGTGGGGAGGTCAACCACTAAGAAGGTGGTCATCATCGTCTTCGACCTCGGCGGGACTCCTAGGGTTAAGGGCAAAGTGATTGCCCCCAGCGGTGAGATTGAATCGCTGGTGAATCCGGTGAGCGCCGAGCACATCGGCTTCATGCTCTCTCTAGGCAAGCCGAGTCTTTGGAAGGCATCGAAGTAGAGCACGTCGGCCGAGCTCCCGGTATCGACCATAATCCTTCTTACTTGTGCGTTGGCGATCCTGGCCGATATTACGAGCGCGTCGTCGTGCTCGGATTGTTCGGACGTTTTGGCCGGGAAAATGACCTCGGGCTCAGGGTCATGCCTGGGAGCTTCGGCCGGGGCGGCTCGGGCGTACGCCTTTCTTCCGATCATGGAGTTTCCGCCAGATGCGGGTCCGCCTACTATCACGTCGATGTGCTGTTCGACGGGACCCCCGAGCGCGACAAAAGTTCCTTGTCCTGTCGAAGGTACTAGCCGAGGTGCCCTCTATGAATAAGCTCCTCGATCTGCCTTTTCAACTCACGACACTGCTTAGTGTCATGCCCATTCTGCCAGTGGAAACGATAGTACTTTGACCGGTCTGCAAGTTCTCCCTTATGTGGAGAAATATCTCTGTTTGGGACGAACCCAAGGTGGGGAGAGGGGGCCTTGGTGCCGGCGGGTCAGATCGGTCCAACCTGCACCGTGGTGCAGCGGATTGCTGCTGCCGGGGTGGCTCCGACCTGACCCTCTTGTGCTCCTCACGCCTCTCAGCCATCCACGTCTCTGCGGCGATGAACTGACTTGCTCGCTGAAGCATCTCGGGTACCACCGTGGGGGGTCGCTCCACAAGAGACCAAAAGAACCTGGAAGGCCGCAGGCCTATCATGAATGCCTGCATTAACAGAAAAGGGTGAGCGTCCGATAGCCCCCGAATTTGCATCGTAAAACGGTTCATAAAATGGGAGAGGGGCTCGTCCTCCCTTTGGTTGAGTCCGAGGAGGAACGCCACGGACGGCTTCGGTCGAGCGTAGGCCAGGAAGTTGAGCTCGAAGTCTCTGACGAGCTGGTCAAAGGAGGTGATGGTCCCGGTCTTTAGACCACTGTACCATGCGCGGGCCAACCCCCTCAGAGTCATTGGGAACGCCCTGCACATCAAGGCGTCAGAAGTCCCATAAAGCGCCATCTGGGCGCGAAAAGCGGTTACGTGGTCCGCTTGGTCGGTGGCGTCGTCATAGGCGTCCAGCGAAGGGAGCCGGAAGTGCGGTGGAATCATTTGATCTTGTATTTCGAGCGCGAATGGGGACCCTTGGTGTCCGTCCGCCCCGAGCTCTCCCTATGACCTGCGAACCTCCTGCTGCACTTCATCGAGTCGTTGACTAACAAGGCGCAGCTGGGCTCGCAGGGCGTTCGTTGAGACCGCAGATAGCGCCTCGGGCTCCGGGCGACTCACCGGATCTTCCGCCCCTCGGTTCCCGAGTTGGGCTGATCGGTTCCGAGGCGAAGTGGGGAGCTCGGGAAGTGGCATATGAGTCTGGGTGGGGGGCTCCCGCTGTTGCAGAGGCTGGGTCATATGCGGGGGCGTCGGATGGGAGACGAGTGGGATGATAGTTTGGACCACGCCCATCAAAGCCCGGACTTGATGAGCGAGGTCGTGAAAGGCTTCAGCCGATACAGGCGACGGGCCGGCGGGGGCACCGTCGGGCGGCGATAAACCCGGGTCGTTGAACAACCGCTAGTAGCGCTCCAATGTTGTGGCGGGGCGTTCGTCTCGGGGTTCATCACGCGGGGGATGTTCTCCCGGGGTGCTGACCGGACGCAACCCCACGGCTGTGGGTTCGTCAGAGTGGATCTGCTGATCGCTCGACATTCGGAGGCCCTCCTTCTAGCGCCAATCTGTTAGTGTAAACAACTTTATGCCGTGACCTCGGGGCCAACACGGCTTGGTTCGGGTCCGAATGGGCGGGGATCTTGTATGACGTTCCTTGAAACCACTGAGGTGGCCGATTACGGTGGTCCGGTCGGGACGTTGCGTCGGGTGGGAAGCTTTTCCGCAACGCCGGGAAGAAGTAACCCCGTCCTTGTACCTGCACACAGGTCGGGTCGGAAGCTCGGCAGGACCCCTCCGACGATCAAGTTAGTGATGGGAAGTGGTATGTTCTTCTGTCTATTTTTTCTCCTCCCCATCGTTTAGAACTCAGGGATATTTATAGGGAAGTTCAGTGTTGCCTGATGTGCCTGCCCGCAGGAGCAGGATCGTACCTCTGATGGCGTCTGATATTGCTGTTGGCGTTGCGTGAAGAACCGAACTGCCGTAGGGTATGGGCGTGCCTCGGTCGTCGTTCTCCTCTGCCTCGGCCGAGCGTGTTGGGTCAGACAACGATGAAGTCGTTGTCTGAGAGCGGTCATCGTTGTCTGAGAGCGGGTGACTTCAGCGTACATCGCGTCGGTATTATTGTCCTCTTTGGGCAGAGTATCGTTCAGACGTGGCTGACATTGTGACATCGTGGGCAGAGTATTATTTCCCTCATCAGTAGGCAATCTCCGTCAACGGTTGCTGTGAGGGTGGCAACTGCAGCCTGACAGGTTGTTGATTCCTCCTCTCCCTCACCATCGCCATGCTCTTCTCCTCCTCTCTTTCACCTCTGCGTAGATAGTGGACGCGTACATGAGCGGGTAAGCCAAGCATGCAGGTTGAAGGAACGCGTGGGAGAAAAGCCCATGGATCTATAAGTAGGACGAACAGCTACAACCGGGGAGCGAAACGCACATGCCGAATTGGGGAGGAGACCTCAGCGGACGACACGTGCGGGGTGACGTCACTGCAGATCTTGGCTGTAGGTGATCTTGTCGTTACAACTTTCTACCCACGTTTCCAATTCCACGTCAACACACACGTGCACGCCGTGCACGTCACCCATCGCATGCATGCATGCCTGCCTATAAAATACGACACCAAATCACGTAAAAGCATCATAGTCTCTTGCGAAGATTAGCGAGAATCACGCACCATCGACTGCAAGTAAACATGCGTTCCAGCATCGCGAAAGAGGTGGTGAATCAAAGAGGCCCGGTGAGATAAGAACATCATGCAGATGACGCTGAACAGAGAACCAAAGCTGCAAGCTGCAAGCTGCAAACATGTTCCTACATGTAGAAAGAACATTGCTTGAGCAAGTATCTAGTCAATTACGATAACTTCATCAGAGCTCTGGCCATCTCCACCACCGGCACGGAAAGCTGGAAGATCGCCACGCAAGATTTGCACTTTGAACTGGATGTTCTCGGTGTCCATCAATTCGAAGACGCATCCATCTCCTTCCTTCAGATTGTTGTCGGTCACAAAGTTCTTCCATCCTTGGCCAAATCGCTGGAAGCTTTGGTCGCCACAGTATATGACCTCCCACGTCCTGCTTCCGTAGGATAGGACTACAGGAACGGTGGAGAGCGGCAGAAGCTCACGGATGCGCTTCGGAAGGGCCTACATGTCATGACCAAAAGGAAAGAAAGGTCGCCATTAAATAGCCATCTCGAAATTGCTGCATCTAATTTATGGGATGCAGCATTATGTAAGCAAATGCAAAGCACCTTTTTGCAGAGAAACACTGTAAAGTTCATAGAGATTATGAAAGAGGCATGGATGAATGGATCAATTTTTGCAAGATTCAGAGTCGTGTAGCAAGCTAAATGGATCTTTAGACATAAATGACAAAACTGCATTAAATCTCCCATGTAGTGTTTTGGCAATTATGATTGTGCATGATTCATGGAATTCATCAAAAGATCAAGCATGAGAATGGTCAAGAGAAGCATCATTATCTAAGCAAATGCAAAGCACCATTTTGCAGTGAAACAACAGACAACGAGAAGGATGAGAACCACCCTAAAATTTGTAGTGCAGCAATCTGAAGGGATCTTTTAATATATGTGAATGGTATATAGCAATTTTAGATACAGCCACTTAATGATTAGATAGCAAATGCCAACAGAAGAGAAACATATTAAAACATCAGGAACCATACATATAATTCAGAACAACATGAATGATTGGCCTGTGAAATGTTCAGATATCATGTTCGGAGCTAATAAAAAATAAGTATTGAATAGTTGGAGGTTCAGCTAAACATAACATCTTTTGTTGAAATCTCCAACTCAAGTTTATCAGGATTAATGTGCATTAGGTTGGATATCAGCAACACCAGAGTGCAAATATTTTAGATGACCAGCCCCAATAAATTCTTAAATCTTACCAATGTGGAAACATTAATTGTCCTCTTTTTCGATCTCTCTCACATACATAATATTCTTTTAACATCTTCAAGATCACCAAAGTGCAGATATTTTAGATGCCAAACCCCAACAAATTAGAAAGTTAATGTAACTTAAAATTATCAGGAAGTTTATAGCTTTTGTTTCCTAACATTTTTATTTTCTCACGATGATAGAAACACAACCATAAATATATCATGTCAACTACAGAAAGTCCCATAGATCTCCCATTAATTATTGCAACTCCTGAGGGCATCAAATTGATTTAGATTTCTATATGATTGCAGGTAATGTGAATGTGAACATGTTCGTGAGTCTTGATGAATGAAAGAGCGACTGACATCTATGAACATCAAGACTTACCATTCTATACATATAACACGAAGTCGTGGACAAGATGCATGTGAAGAATCGGTTTCCTGATAGTGGAACAATTTTCTCTTGCATCGCATGCTCTATTGGAACGATTTTCTCTTGCGTTGCATGCTCTAAAGATTGTTGCACGGTGGTAGGAGATCTGATGTTAGTTTTATCTCTCTTTTCACAATTTACGGCCAGTTTTCCTGCATGTCCTTTTCCAATAGAGACTTAGAACGAAGTAAACAAGAATTTAAGACATCTAAGATTTGACAATAAGTGCACAAATCAACAAGCTCTGTTGGTTTCCTGAAATGAGTTCTACAGGAAAAGCATCACATGACACGATATAGAAGTGTATGGAATCTCTTCTTAAGATGACAACGTATCTCCGGGTATCATTGAATGAGTTGAGAGTGATTAGACTTTGTTCACCTGGAGAAGTCTTGCGATGCGTAGGCTGAGCAGTTGAACTTCCTGCCAAAGGATCTCTCTGAAAATAAATTGAGAAATATAGCATATATGTTGTTAGGAAAATGTGATGTATGCTAAGCGGACATGGAAATGTGCACAGTGGAACCAAAGAAAATAAGATCAATACATGTTCCCAAGTAGTTGAAAGAAATCTAATATGTATCCATGAAACAACTAATGACTTCAAAACGAGTAAGGGTTTCTGTCTTGCAGGCAAACTGCGCCAGGAGAGTACTTCTGCAATGCTTATCTTGTGTTTGGGGCAAATGCAAGTAGGATATCTAAAGGCACCAAAAATAGGTTGTGGATATCCTATTTGATTCGAAGTTGTACATCAAAAGGCTCCCAGAGACGTTACTTAGGGTTTCTCCTCTTCCTCATGCCGATGCTGATTGTGTATGCCCTTTTGATGTTATTCTGTCAGCTTTCTCTTCCCTCTGTTGGTTTCACCTATGTTGTGCTTTTAGTTATTATTTTTCTTTTTCTTTTTTTCTATTTCCGTGTATTCTTTCGGTTCTAACCAAATGAAAAAGGAGTCACATCATTTTCTTCAAGACAAAAAAGAGAACAACTATAAATAACATATGTAGAGAACAGTACATGGACAGTGAACCTACTGTCTACAGGATGATGAAACATAACCAGAGAAAATTGTAGCTTTAGCTCTCCATTATTAGTAATTACCACATAAGAATATGTTTTAATTCCTATAAATTAAAAATGAACTTGGAATTTAAAACATTTCATGGATTCTAATTTTGCTTCAGACAGACACTGATGTTTCTCACCTTTCTGCTCCTTGTGGATTTGAACAATCCTATATAACTTACCAAAAAATAATAATAATCCTATATATCCATGGTGTGGTATGGAAAACCATCTGTTCATTTCTAGCAATGTATTTTCTCCAACAAGTTGTGGCCAGCAATCCAAGATCATGTATTTGTCTAACTTTCTTCTTCTTCAGATGTGATGCAAATGCTTGTTAGATGGTGGCATGGTATATACCACATCTGCAAAAGGAAACACCTCCATCTTCGGCCACATTTCTGCTCTTAGAAATTTCACCATTCACATTGCATTTCAATGCCGACATTGAAAGAGAACCACTTGGCTACCCCTCTTGACTATTTCAAGGGTCTTGATTCCCTAGCTATAGTTCCTAAGCTATGCACCAAAACTTCGCATCAATCTGGATGAAACCAGTATGTTACTGCGCAATGTACATCACAGTCGCTCGTTTTGCCTGGTCACCTTCTACTACTAGGATCTTCTAGCTTCTGCTCCCATTAAAGAAGATTCCTTTAATCCCTATTTGCAGAAGCGATTTCAGAGCTACCAAAGCCAAACCCTAGGATACCATCAGGATGGATAAGCTGATGGAGGAGGTCAACGATCACCACAACAGGAGCAAGAACCAGAAGCTACTTGAGCACATCATGAACCTAGAAGACCAACCGCAGCTGATAGAAGCAGAGAATGCACGAAAGTTGAAACCCTAAAAGAACCCAACCCACACACTACGAGATGGAGCAGAGCGGAAAAGGTGGCTGTAGTTTCATCGGGATCGAGACTCACCATGGAACTCGAGGAGGAAACGACGTTTGTCCGTCGAGACCTTCTGGTTGGGGTTTGGTTGCGCGCGCTCTCGGTGTCTCTCTCTCTCTCTCTCTCTCTCTCTCTCTCTCTC